TCGCCACCCTCCGTTTTAGATTCCGGATCAGCGCATCAAAATCCCGATTCAGCTCTGCAGCGGCACTAGTCTCCTCTAAGATGAGACGATCGTCCACCATCTCCGTCTGGATGGTCAGCCTCTCTTTCCCCTGCCTCTCGCTAAGTAACGACAGCACAATATTATGCGCAGATTCTACGGTGTCTGTATGTCTCACAAACCTTGCACCTTGCTGGATTAGAGGTTCAAAGAACTCCGGGCTCGTCTTTAGCTCTAGTTCGCGGGCCTCCCCTAGTTCCTGATTGGGTAGTAATCCCCACAGGTTTGTGACCACAACGACGGACGTGAGAGCCTCTTCACCACAGAGATTCTGAAACACTTTCACGTGGCGGCTTGTGATCCCTCGTAGTATCCTGCCCTCTATACTGTGGAGATACAATATTCCGTCAAATAGCCTCCCTTGTTTGTAGCTATTCTCGTCATCAATATCTTGAGAGACACGGAAAGATAAGGACATACGTTTGAGACATGTAACCTGCAATTTCTTCCAAGACGTCGATATCCGACTTATTTGTATCATCAAACCCAGGTGTGTCCAGTAGAACAACCTGTCGACCTCCGATAAAGAAGGGTGCTGTAGGAGTTACTGGCGCAGTACAGCTCCTTAACCCAGTTCCGACTTTCAGACTTGATCCACTAGCGAGATTGATAAACTGACAATGTGGCCCTTTAGTTCAGGCTAATCTTCTTTTTTACTGGACAACTCACGGATGATTTGCCGCTGCCAGATGGGCCCATGACGCTGTAACATTAAATGAGTGGTCGGTATTATTTCGATCTATAGCAATTTCCACACACGCTATCAATGAATAATCCATTAGAGGGTTTGGTCAAAGGGAAGATTGCGTCGGGTCTGATTATCGTCGAGTGACACTGTGATATTTTATGTTTATTCTCTCTCGTGCTCAGGCAAGAATCATGTTTAAATCGTAGCTATGATATAAACACGCTGAGGCCGGCCGGAATGCTGCAGCCACAGCGCCCCCTATTGGCGGTGCTCGACTGGTATCCTAGCCAAGTCCGCACGACGTTGGTTGATCGATAGGCACCTGTACCGAACGACGGAAATCTGTTCTCACATGCATGATACATGTGTATTCAACCATTTATCAGGTCATAACGTCCGCATGTAAAGAATAATGGTCCATTAGGTTGCGCTGACCACATTATGTGCCCATGTCTATCGGTAAAGTCAGGGGCTGTGTTCGATATGGAGCACCGTTGGTCTCTTCAATGTCACATTTCTTATACATATATACCCAGTAGAATTTGTGAATCGGTCTTCGTCGAAATTATATAAAGCGCCACTTGAACGCCAGTCAATAGTTGTGGAGAGGCACGATTCTCAATACATATGGTTTGTCTAGATATAATCGGATGGGTTAAAAGGTACGGGGTGGTT